AAGCCGGACTTATGAGTCCACATATGTTGCTCACCATATCCCACGAAACCACCATCTTCGTTGGGCATGAGAGCATCTATCTGAGCATGAACCTTCGCCCCAGTCCTCAAGTGAGGTCTAGGGTCCATCGCTTTGACACCTTTCGTAAAGCTCTTGACGTCTTCTCTGAATGGATGGTCAAGAGGCAGGAATTGATGATGTTTGTCGAACGACGAATACTTGCCACCCTTCTTCAACCATATGAACCTCGCAGCTTCCTTGCATATTGGGCATAGGAACTTCCCCTGAACACACCAGGTGCACATTAACCCGTACGCCAGGAAGTCGTGCAGAGAGTAGTGGTACCAGACGTGCATTTTGAAGCTAGTCTTCGTAGCTCGGTCGTATGTTCACACCCCTTTGACCCAAGCATCGATCAACTCATCTATCACAGGCTCCATGAAGACACCCATATTACTCCCTGGGTGTCCAGGGATTATCAACGACATGAACACGGTATGCCGTTGAAAGGAGACGCCGGGGAGATTCAGGGGGATGATGAACACGGGCCAACATGTGTATGGCGCAGCCATCATGCCATATGGATTGAACCCATCTGTTGCCAGTGCGACACGTACATTACGAGCCTCCTATGCTTTGAGAGGATGCAGCGAATTGAAGTACTTCCATGCATCAGCATCAGATGGATGTACCATCTTCTCAGGATTGTATCATGTGCCGTTTTTGTGCCATGTCATCTGTTTCGCGGATTCCTCGGTCATGAATAGCCATTGGAGCCTCGGTAGGAACGGAAGGTGTCATAGGACTCTCATAGGGATCTTAAGCTGCCTCTTCTGGCCATCGCCTGAGTCTACCTCCACGTACCTGGAGGATTTACACTTCGGGCAATACTTTGCATCCACGTGTTCTTTCCTAAATAGGACGTACCCCTTCGGACATACATGTATCTTGTCATACGTCATCTTAAGTGCAAGAAGGAGCTTCTTTGACTCGTACAAGTTCTTCGGCATAATGTGTGTCTTCGGTAGCATATCGCTCCACACGGCCACCATCTTGTCGAAGCCTTCTCGACTTAGGTTTAACTCAGCCTTCAACCCCATTACGCGACCAATGGCATCCAGCTAAGAAACATTAGTATGATCATGAAGGGGTCTCTATGCCGAGTCCAAAATCAAGTAGAAGGCATCTGCGGTAGCCTCCATCTCCTCCTTGTCACGTCCTTCAGCGAACTGAGCTTGGTGCGTGTCATTCAGCATGTCTGCTACCCCGGCATCATCATTGAAAGCCTCGAGCCGTGGTCTCACCACCTCCTCCCTGATACGATCGGCTTCACCATGGTGGATCCACCGGTGGTAGCCCGGAGTAAATCCAAACTTCACAATATGTTTACCCATGGTTAACCTATCTTTCCTTCTTCATTGTCACAACCATTGCATGGACAAACCACTAGAGAATGGCCTCCAAAGACTCTCACCAAATGCATGTCAGTAAGAATTCTTCGACCTTGACTATAAACAGCAAGTCATAATCGTGCTCGTCTCTCCGGAGCGTGTACATCCACTCACGGTCCTCCATCCTTTAACAGACGTATCAGCACATATGAGTCACCATCAATTGCATCTATGCGGTGTCCCTACTCTCTAATAGGTGAGGATAGGTCCTAATCCCACCCATGAGATCCGTAGATGAGGTTAGTTTCATGCTCGCTCCTATCCGAGATGGAATTTCGGCGAAGACCTCCCTGCTTCTCTCCCGATACACGTCCCGCAAGGGAGAGTGTGTATCCCGAGAACAACAGGGGTGATGCTTGGCTACCGTCTCGGACCGAAGCGAACCATGAAAACTAACCCATCTACGCATCCGCGGGCTGTCCAAAAAATGTGGACAATCCAAAATAGAAATGCTCGTAGATATGCAAAGATCTGCATACCTCCAAAGATATCTCTTTCGGACGGGAGACGCCTAACTAGGCTACACCGATCTCTGACGACGAGACAAAGCGGAAAAAGAGATGATTTATACCTAGGGTGTCGGTGAAGTTAGGCTAGCGAGGCGATGGCGAGTCGGCGCAGCGATGGCGGCGGCGACGCAGTCTGCAGCAGACCAGCGATCTGCCGACGAAGACGATCGGGACCTCCGGTCACCTCAAGCAGTCCCGCTCTACAAAAGAAGAAACACGACACTATAAGTTCAAAATTTCGACAAAGACCTCCCTGCACGGGAGGTTTCCAAACTGCAAAAAAACAACGCAGCACGAAGGCCGACAATCACAAACGGCACGAAGGCCGATAAGAACAATGACACGAAGGCCGACATCACAATGGCACGAAGGCCGACAAAAGGAGAAAGGGTGGATATACCTTGCCCACGCTCGTAGACGGTTCGGTGTGACAGATGGGGCGTCGGCGATGGGCAGGCGGAGAAGACGGCCGAGGCTCCTCCTCCTCCCCTCCACCTCGGCTTCCTCCCCCTCTCCCCTTCTCCTCCTCCTTCCTTTTTCTTCTCTTTTTTCCTTCTCCTTCTTTTTCCTTTTCCTTCTCTTTCTTTCTCCTCTTTTTCTTCCTTCTTCTTCCTTCTTCTCCTCCTTCTTCTTCTTCTTCTTCTTCCTCCTCCTTCTTCCAATCCGTGGCAAGAGCGGGGGAGCACAGGGCGCCTGGGGCAGCGTCTGCGGGGGGAGGACGGACAGCAGCCGATGGTGGCAAGACGAGGCGACGCAGACGGCGGCGGGGTCATGCTGACGGCGGCGCTCAGCCGGCGGGCTGGGCCGGAGGGCGGGGTGCTTTCGGGGTGGTGGGTGTGGCTGGCGAGGCTCACAGGGCGGCAATGGCGGGTGGGGTGGGTGCTTTCGAGGGACGGGCGCGTGTGATGTGGGGTCTGTTGGCGTGGGTCTGCCGGGAAAGCCTGTGGCCGGGCTGGGGGCTGCTTTCGGGGGGCTCGTCAGTGATGGTGCGTCGGGAGCCACCACCTGGCGGCGCGGCGGGCTGGGGGGTGCTCTGGGGGCGCTGTGGGGCGGGAGTCTCGCCAGGCGTGGACGCTTCAAAGAGCCGCATGTGGCAGGCTAGGGGTGCTTTCGGGGCGGGGCGCAGTGGCGGGGCTGGCATGCGGGGCGTGGCGCAACATGTGTGGAGCGGCGATGGCGGCGGCTGGGCGACGGGGATCTTGGCGAGCGTCGGAGAGCAGCAGAGAAGCCAGGCGAATAGGGTTTTGGGGGGATTTTGGGCCGGCGGTTTTTTTAAAAAAAACATATTTTGCCGAGTGTAAGCCTTGAGCACTCGGCAAAAAAAATTAATTTTTTAAAACTTATTTTGCCTAGTGCCGGTGTCAGCCACTCGGCAAAAAAAAATATTTTTGAAAATCAACTTTGCCGAGTGCCCCGTGGGCCGGCACTCGGCAAAGCCCAAAGCCCACTTTGTCGAGTGCCCCCCATGGCACTCGGCAAAAAAAAATTTTGATTTTGGGCCCAAATTTTTTCCCGTGGCCTTGTGACAGTATTTCAAACTCTATTTTAAAATTTGGAGCAATTTTGACTTTTTTGATATATTTCATTAGTTTATTTCGTTTCGTCTAATTTTTTGAGATATTTCAAATTTGAACTGCAGGTAAATGGAATAATGGACTTTGGCCATCTAAAAATTGATACTCATGATATCTAGGGTATGTTTAGGCCGTATCCAGAAAGTCACATGAAATCTCGAGCATCTCGTTGACGTAACATGTCGAGGTACTTGCCGGAAATATGATTTTAAATTATATAAAATGCAAACGACGTCCGAAAATCACGAAACTTGTCGAGGCGTCGTGTTATCACATATGGAGGCTGTGGTAAAAAATAGTAAAGGTTTCGAGCAAGTTGTGACGTCGAATGCCAAAAACCCAGACATCTCCACATGTGATCAATTTTTTGGTATCCGACGTCACAACTTGCTCGAAACCTTTACAATTTTTACCACAGCATCCACATGTGATAACACGACGCCTCGACAAGTTTCATGATTTTCGGACGTCGTTTGCATTTTATATAATTTAAAATCACATTTCCGACAAGTACCTCGACATGTTACGTCAACGAGATGCTCGAGATTTCATGTGACTTCCTGGATACGGCCTAAACATACCCTAGATATCATGAGTATCAATTTTTAGATGGCCAAAGTCCATTATTCCATTTACCTGCAGTTCAAATTTGAAATATCTCAAAAAATTAGACGAAACGAAATAAACTAATGAAATATATCAAAAAAAAGTCAAAATTGCCCCAAATTTTAAAATAGAGTTTGAAATACTGTCACAGGGCCACAGAAAAAAATTTGGGCCCAAAATCAAAAAAAAAATGCCGAGTGCCATGGGGGGCACTCGGCAAAGTTGCCGACCCAGGGGGCACTCAGCAAAGTTGATTTTCAAAAAATAAAATAAAAATTACCGAGTGCCTGACACTGGCACTCGGCAAAATAAGTTTTAGAAAATTAAAAAAAAATTGCCGAGTGCCCAACACTTACACTCGGCGAAATAAGTTTTTAAAAATAAAAAAAAATCCGAGTGCCATCCGTTAGGCACTCGGCAAAATCTGACGGCAGGTGGCCACCGTCACGTGCCGGCCACCTTTTGCTGAGTGGGACTTTTACCGAGTGCCGCGGCACTCGGCAAAGTCCAGATTTACCGAGAGCCAGGCTTTGCCGAGTGCCTGGCATTCGGCAAAGCCACCTTTGCCGAGTGCTTTATTTTGCCGAGTGCGGCACTCGGCAAAATATTTTTTTGCCGAGTGCGGCACTCGGCAAAATATTTTTTTGCCGAGTGCTCCGATAAAAAACACTCAGCAAAGTCTCAGGTACTCGGCAAAATATAGTTTTCCAGTAGTGTACCAAACGTGAAATGAGTCTTGTTTTAGGGTATCGATCGTTGGAGACCATCTAAGCATCAGAATCCTTTATAACACCTTCCTCATCCACAACTCGTCATCACAGATAATTTGGTTTCCTTTTTTCCATTTCGCGTCGCGAAAAATGGTGATCGTTGATCCGAAAGCCCTGCCCTCCGCGCACCAGTTCACCGTCGTCATCGACGGCGTCGAGACGGCCGTCCACGATGGCGTGCTCCGGCGCAACGGCGGCACGGTGGCCGTGGTCGGCCCGGGCGTCCTGGAGGTGAGCTGTCTCCAGCACGTGGTGGTGCGCGGCGGCGGCGGCGGCGGCGACGTCCGCTTCTCCCGGTGCGGGTACGCGGCCGCTGGATTTTCACGAGCAGACGATGATGTATCAGCAGGGTGAACCTGTCCTCACTACGCCGGTGGCAGTCGTGGCCAAGTGAAGGGAGATGCGTACTGTACTGCCTGCGTCGCCCTGTCGTACGGCCGGTTATCGCATTCGTATCTACGCTGAAAATATGTGTAATACTATTATCGTGTATATATTGTGAAGACGAATTCTGGTTCGATTAGTCTCGTATTGTTCTACTATGTTATTGTACCAGTAATTGCTGTAATATTCTGCAAACTTTCCTACCCAAAGCATCTATGGCGTGTTTCATCTTAAAACATTGTTCGTATGCATGTAAAGTATAACGATTAAATAATGGAGTTTTTTGTGGATAAGTTATATTCTGTGGTTGATACTCAACCATCTGATCATGTTCTCTAGTGTTGGCTCTTTTGGAAAAAAAAAGGTGGGTGGGGAGGGTCCTCACCTGGCCCAAATCATATCTGGCGCACGTGCGCCAATAAGATTAGCGGCGCACACGTCGCCGGGGAAGAAGGGGTGGGGGCAGCAGTCGGTCGGTGGGTGGAACGGCCAGCGGCGAGGTCTATGGCCGGCGGCCTTAGAAGAAGGGGCCCGGGGGCGGCAACCGGGCCGGTGGTGGTGGCGAGTTGAGGGCAGTGAGCGAGGCAGCGGCGGAGGACACCAGCGGTGTCGATGGCGGGGGCGAGGAGTCCGGTGAGCTCCTGGATTGGAACTAGGGAAAGGCAGATTCATCTGACGGGGGTGGGCGGTGGACCGGGAGGTCAGGTGGTGGTCGAGGTGGGCAGGGGCAGGGCTTGCCATCGAATAAGAAGAATAGGGACGCACAGAGACGGGATGGGCACATGTGCGCCAATAACCATAGCGGCTCGTGGTTGTTCGGACTACCTTGACTTTTTTGGAAAAAAGAAAGCCTACCAGGTGAATTGAAACTCATAATGGTGATTTCTTGCGTGTTTGGTTCAATGCTTCCATTTGGCTTGTCCCGTCCAGGGACCAGGGCTACCAAGTCTCAGTTTAATTTTCTTCATCCGCGGGGTTAGTCCAGGCCTTTATTTTGGACGCTAAAATTTGGCCGTGCGTCGGGCAATCCAAACTCACCCTTGATGCTTCAGAATTTCAGCGTCTTATTAATTGAACTAGTAGCAAATATAGCAATCCACGGGTCGGCATGAGTGTGACGTGTGTGGCTACTGGCTAACCATACATCTCCGTTATATACGTAGAATGCCTTTTTAGATCAGATCATTGGAATGGAATGACGAAGCTGAGCAGCGCTAGCTGGCGGGGACAAGAACAAAAGACATGTTATGAAAGGGCATTGCATCATTGTCCATTAGGCTTCAAAGACAATCTAACTAAAGCTTAAAGCAATCTGAATAAGGTGGACACAAAGACTATTGTGGTGGCCCCATGTCCTTTTTCTAAATTCTGGCCCATTTGCTAAAACCTGCCCCACAACAATCTAAGATAGTAACATCCAGGGAAAACATCCCCGTCTTTGTATGGTTTATCATATCGAAGCCAATGTGCTCCATCTCCATGTGATACAAAAATGTAAGACTTTTTTTTTTCTGAAACAAATTATAATTATATATTTTTTTCAAACAATCATGTAATCCATTTTAAACATTAGAAGAAGTGTGGATGCGCCTAAAGATGATTGATTTTGTTTACCTTCAATCAGTTTCTCATCAAATTTAAGGTCGGAGGCAGTAGATTAAATTTACGTAGAAATGTTGCGTCATTGCGTGAGAACTAACAAGAGACACCTGTCACTCGGATTGCCAGTCAGCGTAGCAGGTGTTTCATTGAAAAAAAATTGCTGATCACAAATGGACCATAAACACGAATGAATACACGGTTGCAATTTGCAACCCGTGCACCAATAGATTGATGGAGTAGTAGTAAACACAACGACAATATGACCAACTGCCCAAGCTCTCACCCATTTATGGCGAACACCCCAAAATCGCTTCTATCCACCTCCAAAACGCTGGACAAGAACAGCTCAACTACCCAAACCACCAAAAGCAGATCGCTGTCCCGCACACATCTGCTCGCCACCCAGCTCACCCGATGGCGCTCGTCGTTGACGCCAAGGCCGCCGGCGCGTCCGCATCCACCTCCACCGCCGCCACTGCGGCCGCGGCGGCGGACCACCTGTTCCTGGTCGTCCTCGACGGCGTCGAGACGCCCATCCACGAGGGGACGCTGCACGGCAGCGCGGGGGGCACGGTCACCGTCACCGGCCCGGGCCAGCTCTCCGCCGACGGCCTCCGGAGCAGCGTCCTCGTCCGCGGCGGCGGCGAAGGCGGGGCCGTGCGGTTCACGCAATGCGCCGACGCGGCCGCCGAGGGCGTGGGCGCGGCGAGCTTCGACCGGTGCGGCGCGGCGCGCGTGGAGGGCGCGCGGGAGGTGTCCGTGTCCCGGTGCCGCGCGGCCGAGGTGGAGCGCGCGGGGAGGGTCACCCTGGACCGGTGCCACGACGCGCGGCTCCGCGGAGGGGGAGCGCTCCGCGCCGCGCGGTGCCGCCGCGCCGACGTCGAGAGCTTCGGCGGGGTGCGCCTGGCGCGGTGCAGGGCCGCGCGCGCCGACTGGTGCGGCACCGTCGAGGTCGAGCTGTGCAGGGCCGTCGACGTCACCCGATGCGGCGCCGTCACCGGGGACCGCTGCCGCGTCGTCAACGCCGCCGGGTGCGGCAGCGTCGACGTGGCGCGGGCCGTCATCAACTTGGTGGAGGAAGAGCAGCAGCCGTAGTCAGCCCTGTTCTGTCATCGCGGAGCGGCTCAACATCGAGAGCTCAACAGCTGTAACTAGAAGTGGAGTACTGCTGTATCTTCTGCTGCTGTAAACTGAACAAGAATGCTTTTGTAAATTGTTTTTCAAAGTAGGCTTTGTGGTTCGCGTTTTAATTGATTGATTGAGTTCATTCTCAATGTGACTTCCATAGTTCTTCCATATTCAAAATTGTTTTTCACTAATCACTGCAATACAAGTGGGCTATCATCCCAGCGGCCCATCCCCATCCCCAGCCCAGCCCAGCCAGCACCGCCTCGTCGTCTCGCATCGGCGTCGGCATCACCACCGGCGTTGTGCCCATTACCATGCCGCCGTTGGCGGCCGCCGGCGATTTCCTCATTCTCGAGTTCATCGCAGGCAACCGCCGCATCCCCCACGCCGTGTTCGACTCCCTCCTCGCCTCCCTATCCTCACCCTCCGCCTTGCCCCGCACCTCACAGCGCCTCCGACAAGCCCTAGTGCTCCGCGCCCTCGACGCTGCCCTCCACACCGAGGGCACCTCCTCCTGCTCCTCCAGCCTCCTCCTCCTCCACAAGGCGCGAAAGGTCCTCGCCGACCCCGACGCAGCCGCCTGCTTCCCCCACCAGATCTCTTTTGCAGACAATGAAGAGAAGGACGAGGCTAGGGCCGCGGCCGCGGTGGCCGATCTCAAGCGCCTCCTCGACCTTGAGTGGGCCAACCTCCCGCCCTCCACACTCGAGCGCGCCGCCGACAGGATCGCCGGGGACGGGGCCCACCAGACGCGGCCCGCCGTCGACCACACCAAGCCTACAAAGCGTCGCCTGCTCGGTACCTCTAATCACAAAGCTAGCCTAATCCATATCCTATTCAATTTTTTTAGAAACAATTGTCCTGTTTATCTTTTTCAATGTTGTTGCTTACTATCTAAGACAAGAAAATGAATGAATGATGAAATTGTGGTTACTCCATTCGCAGTAGGGGAATCAACGGAGCGTGAGATTTTATCTAAGCTTGTGCAGGATAGATCCAATTCTCATCAACCAATTCTGACGGAAGTTGCTGATAATGCGAGCAATGCCAATGAAGCTGATGGTGCTCGACGAGATGATGAGGCCCATTCTTCTAATGAAAACAGTGAGGCTGATTGTGGTCAAGAAGGTATGGCTGGGCACCAAAATGCATCGGTTAAAGGAGCAGAGGGTCGAGTTTCAGAGAAGGCTGTCCCTGCTTCTAAAAAGTGCAGTCTTATGGAGAGAAATCCCAATGCAAGCACTTATGAGGTAATTAATTCACTGTGCTTTTATTCGCATTCCGTCCATATATTAGGTGATGAAGCTTATCAATCCCATATAGAAGTATCCATCTTGTAGTAACTTTGATTGCATCTTAGATTACCTATGTTTCCACATAAAGTAACCTTTTCGGTTTCAATTTATTTATGTGTATCTCTTGGTTCAAATACATCTAGTTGTGAATGAGGAAGTTGTTCTCTGTATGTATTATCTGCAAACTTTTGGGATATTGTTTGGCAAAGCACAATGGTGTAATTTTTTTTTGGTGAAACATTATAATAGCATGTGTGCAGTTTGGTGATGGTATGTTGTCATCATCTTGGGTGCAGTGGGATAGCTCTGATGATGATCAGCCAGTACGGAAGCGCAAAGTACATCATTTTGAGAGAAAATCATATCCTTCTCCTTCATGTGCACATAAGATCAGAAAGAAGTGGAGTGAGATAGAGGAAAAAACCTTGCTGGAAGGGGTGGAGAAGTGAGTTATATTTTTGTTTGCCTTATTACTCTTACTACATTAACATTTTTTTTGTTCTTCAATTTAAATTCAGTAAGTAAACGTTGTACCTTAATTATATATTTTGCATTTTGTATGGTGACTCAAAGGTATGGCAAAGGCAATTGGAAAGATATCAAATTAGCTTACCCTGATGCCTTTGAGGAGAGATCAACGGTATGCATTCTGGCTGGCATTCCATTTCTTGCCTTGGATGAAGACTTGGCCTTGAAAGTTTGGGTTTGATGTGCAGGTAGATCTGAAGGACAAGTTCAGAAATTTGGAAAGGCACCACCATGAATCGGCTTGAGGCCTAGTGGCGCTGTGCTTTTACTCTACTCTGTAAATATTTTGTAGTATGCAAATGAAGGCCTATGTAAGGTGCATGGAAACATTTGTGTTTCGTGTTGTACTGTAGCAAGGACATTGTTGACTTGTTGAGTGATCAATGGAAACTAGCTGGAACCCCACATGTTGCCGCCGGGGGGCACAACTCGAACACACATTTGGCTCAGAAATGCATCATGAGAAGATAGAACTCTGGTATAGGCGGAATCTGATCCGATGGCCACTGTAACTCGAATTGAAAATTTAAACCATTTTCGCTACATTGGCTCACTATTTGTTCATGAAACTCAATAAGGTTTGCTCCAGGAGTAAGAAACAGTTCCCTTGTTGGTAGGCAGCCAATGTTTAATTTACATCAGCTAGATGCTATGTTTTACCTGAAACTGCCGTTCACACTCAACTTTAAGAGACATATCAAGCTTCTGTATTTGGCTAAAGCTAGAGCTCTACCAAATGGGCCTTAGTATTCTATATTCACACTCAACATTTAAAGCCATATCAAGCTTCATTATTTGGTTAAAGCTGAGCTCTGCCAAACGGGCCTAAGTATTCTATATGATCTCAAAGTTTATTCCTAGCTTATTTTTTAGTCGAGCCCCATGCACCAAAAATATTTGAATTATGCTTCAGGAACACAAGATTGGCTTTGAAACTTCCATCAACTCATATGTTTAGGCGAAAAATAATTTGCCGATCTTTCCACACAGAAGAGGTGCTTCTGAAATCGTTTTTTTTATCCCTGGTCAATGTTAGCGATGCCACCGAGACCCACATTGGCTGTACAAATTTCATTGTGCAGTCAGATTATCTGGAGGTGGTGGAGACAATGAAGGATGGCTGTTTCTCTGCATCGGCGGCAGCCCCAATCTTTGAAGAATGCTACGACATTTGGATGGACTTCCCAACAGCTACATTAGAGCATTGTGATAGAGAAGCGAACCAAGTTGCTCATGAATTAGCTCGGCAAGCCTTTCTTTCTAAATCTTTTTTATTTGGGTTGATTCACCTCCTAGTTTCATTTTTCCGATTGTATCAAATGATGTAACATTATTATCAGTTGAATGAAAGCTTGCCTGAAGGCATTTTCAAAAAAAAAAAAGACACAAGGCGAATCAAAACATCCTGGTCTCTTAACCATTTGCGGTTTGCTTTAGCAACTGGCCAGCTGTACAGTGAATGAATGCTGACACCAACAGAACAGACGTACAGGGTACACAACCGCCAGAAATACCTTCATCCTAGAAAGAATGCAGTTCTAGATTTGGTTAGAACCAAACCAAAACTCAAGTTTGATTGAATTATTTGGAAATAGTATCAACATTTAAGACTCCAAACATGTATATTATGAAATTATATTCCAATCCAATAGTACTTATTTAGTATGGCAAGCATTAATATCCTTTTTATATTAATATTATTTTAGATAAATTTAGTCAAACGTAAAACAATTTAACTGAGCATTATTTTAGAATTGTATCTTTCTTGAAACAGGGAGGTAGAGAAGGAGAAGCGAAGGACTGTTAGGACATATTCCAACTTTGAGGTTTCACTTTCGATCTTTGTGAGTGCATGATTGGGATTTGTCAATCAACTCCAAACTTCGGTTACTACGATCTTGACTTGTTGCTCTTTAGACTAGAATGGGTGATGCAACGATTGGGTCGAGGAACATCATATTTAATTTTGGAGGTAGTTTATTTAGCAGCAGGTTCGCAGGTGCTGTATATCTTCATAGGCTGCCACAGTTCGATGGGTTAAAACGTTATCCGTTCTGTTTCAGAATTTGAAAGAATAAACTGATTCGGTCGAATTCAATTCCTGCCAAGTTCCACAAATTCAGATTTGTGGTTTGGTCGATGTCAGCTCTGGATTTTCTCAAACAAGAAGAGGCAGAACTATAGATTTATCTACTGTACGCTACGGACCTAGTTACCTTTTCCTGTGTATATTGATGTCGAACGATGCATGAGAGCAACTCTAACTGGATTTCTACTCGAACCATCATCCTATTTTTAAGGGCTAAAGAAAAAAAAATCTTACTCCAGCGGAGCCCGTACTATAGTCCCTCAAATTTGAGAGAGCCTCACATCTTTCCTCTGGCCCTCAGTCCTAAGGGCTCTAGCCCAGGCCCTCAAATCACGGTTGGCGTTGTTTCCTCGCGCGCTCGGTCTCGCGCCCTCTTTCCCCTCGCGCTCGATCTCGCGTGCGCCGCCAATTTTTTGCCGCGCGAGCCCGCCAGCGTGCAGCGTCCTCCCGCGCGACTTCCATCCCTTGAGCGATTTCCGTCTTTGTCGCACAAAAGCCCGGCCCCATCCCTCTTCCTCGCTCCCATATTCGAGTTCGTCCCGGTGGTCGGCGATCTCTCTGCTGCCAGGCCCTCGCCGCGCGGCTCCAGGCGGCGGCCGTGACTAGGGAGAGGGTCCCGCGACTCTCCACGTGACCGTGGAACGACCGCAGCCGGTCGGAGATCCAGGCGAGATGCAATCTCGAATTGTTTTGGCTTTTCTTGTTTCTGTAGGCATCCATACAGTAGCAGGTGAGATGCGCATATTAATTGATTCCATCAGCTCTTCTTGTTTCTGTAGCTAGCATCCAGACAGTAGCAGGCGATCTGCTCGCGAGCGTCCCGCCATCCCCATCGTTGCGCCCGGCAGGAGCAGCACCACCAGCGGTACTTGCTCCCCACCTCCCCACAGTGAGGTCATGAGGATGGTGTTCTTGGTGATGCAAGACTCTACACGACACGTTCGTGAATACACAATTTTTTTTCTTGGCACTTGCTGAAAATTGCAATTTTTGGCGGGCGGTGGATTGCTTTTTTACTTCTCAATCATCGTGTGAATTGTGCATTGCTGAATTGCTTAGTTTTCTGCCTTCTTGTTGAAATGTGCTGAAGAATTGTCAACCTTTGTTCTAAAGCGAACGTCAACTTGTTGTCTCCGAAGCAAAATCTTTGCTCCTGCAAGTCGGCCAGTCAGGGAACCAGTATGCCATCTTTCACGCCATCCGGAAAAAGGTAATATGAATCTGGTGATTTTATCTGGTCGTCACTTCAGGTAAAATGCCTGTTCGCTTGGTCGTAAACGATTGTAAATTTTCAGTCAGAATAGTATTTTTCTCTCGCACCAAATCAGCCAGCAGTAAATAATCCACGATCGTTTACGGTTTGCGGCCTGCCGAACAGGCTGATAGTACCATGGAACATGCCCTCCTCCATCTGTTTGTTTTTATTTGGTGTATTGGGATTTTAAAAAGCCTTTAAATGTACACTTTGACTACACTTTACAGCATATCATCAATTGCTACAAATCAATGTTATATTAAAATATTTATATATAAATATTCATATAGCTATTAGTAGTATACACTAATAAGCATGATAATTTGACTATATTTAGTCAAAATTTATTAAATTTGGTTTTTAAAAATCATAACAGGTCTCAAACGGAGGGAGGGAGTATACGGTTTCCAGTTTCCTGGTATCAACACTAGCTGAACGTTCAGATTTGTATCAAAGCAATCAAAACCGTTGAGGCCATTTTTTTTTTTGGGGAAGTCTACGTAACCCCCCGACATTTAGCCCGTGGACTACCTAGCCCCACTTAAGTACAAAACCATGTATCTAGCATCCTAAAATTTGGCAAACCATTCAAAAAAACCCTGCCTTACGATTCAAACCACCCCCCCAATGAGCGGACAGCACATGTTCTGGAGGGAAATATCCTTCCGCTCCTGCCAAAACACATCCACAAGGAGACACCATGACTCGGCTGCATCTGCTGTCGCTCCCAACCACCATCGCACACAGCTGCTTTGGCGGCTCCGCCCGTTTGACCTTGAGACTTGAGAGGACTGGCGACGCTAGCAGACCACCGGCCAACTCTAGCTCGAGAGCCAAGAACGCCACCGGCCTCCTCGCTGCTCCGATCTCATTCTCTCCGGTGTCATGGATCTAGTTGCAGTTGCAGGCACGACGACGGGGTATCGGGAACCGGTGCAAGTATGCGGTATCGGGAACCGGTGCAAGTATGCGCTCGCGCGGCCGGCCGGCAAGATCATCCTCGCCAGCGAGCACGCCGTCGTCCATGGCTCTGCTGCAGTCACGTCGTCGCCGCCATCGACCTCTACACCAACTCCTCGCCCCTCCCTCTTCTTCAACCTCGCAGGTGCTCCCGCCCACCCACCCACGCCTTGGCTTCTTTTCATTCGTCGTCATTGGCTCGCTATCGCCACCGGCACCCTTCTCACACCGTCCTTCCTACTGACGGCAAAATGAAAGGGATCACGGGAGACGGTGGCGGTGCTGACTCCGGCGCGGTGGAGCTGGATCTCGTTGTCGTGCTCGCGCCTCCGCGGGGTGCAGGGGGAGGAGAGCGCCAACTCTCGTCAGCCCGGCCTCTTCTCCTGCGTAGACTCTCTCGTATGTCTGGCTGTCTGCTCGTCATCGTGAGCTCGATCGTGTGCTTTAACTTATATAAGGCCCGTGTTGAAAGACGTGATAATTATCTCCGTGGGGCCGTGGGCTTCGATAGGATAGGTTGTGGAGTTGTATAAATATCAGCTAACAAACTCTTGATTTGCATGGTGGTGATAGTTAGTTGTGTTGATGTAGTCATACGTGAAGATAGCTTGTTGTAACAAACTCACGAGTCACGACCAGCTCTCTCGGCTTGTTAGCTTCTGTACTCACATCTATTTGTGTGGCCACTCGAGGGGCTCTTCCTGATATAATTAACACGTACCCGTCGGACTCTAGTAAGAGAGCCGACATTCGAAGCGCCTCTGATCAATTCACAGTCCGGTCATGCACGCATGCGCCACGTGCCACCATACTTCTTCCAACTGCGTCGCCACCATTCTCGTCCACGCGCTAGGTAGTAGCTGCTAGCTGCTTGCCGTCTCTGCTTGCTTTCGTCTTTGCGTTATGCGTTGCTAACGAACCAAGCGACGCCGGGCGGTCTT